CAGGAATATGTCAAAATGTCTAGATATACTTCATCCCCCCCCCCACCTTCGATTTTAGTGCAAATAAGGAGACAACAACAAACTGTTTTGTAAGGGTAGGACTCATCCCACCTGACTGCTGGTGTTCATCCTCTGACAAGGGACGGAGACAGACTCTTTGGGAGCATGAGTCAACCTCCCCCTGTCCCACACATGGATCTTAGGACAGGGTGAATCACTTTCTGGGGGTGTCTGTCTCTCTCTGTTGACTCGAGGAGACGTTCAGATGACTTATCAGCAGGCATGGTGCTGTGCAATGTGAGTGACTCAACGCACGTACGCCGTGCAATTTACAGCAAAGATTGTGATTAGTGGATGTTTCTGCACTGAAAACGTTATGGTAGGAAAAGCCTTTATGAGTATACTGAGCTTTTGTTTCTGGTGTGTTTTATTCCTCTCTCTATTCTAGAATAAATGAACCCAACAGAAACATTCTGAAGCCAGTGTGACACATCTGTCTCTTGAGGGTTGGCACTGCTTGAGTTTCAGTGTACAGGTACATCCAATGCCATACAAGTTTCTAGTAAAACAGCACTAAAATAGGACAATGCATGACATATTTTTTTTATGCTAATCATGCAAAGTTTTTAAACTGAATATCAAGAAGATACTGCAATAAGTAGTACTTACACACATAGTAGTACTTACCATAAGAATATTGTGGCATTGCTTAGTCTTCCAAAACTGATAATTATGTCTACCAAAAATGTAACACATCTGGTAGGTTAAAAATAAATCTACTCTACATCAGTCTGGGGCTGAGGCTATTCACTTTCAGAAGTTTCCATTCATTAGAGTTCCCAGGTCCTATATGGAAGTATTTCTTATTGAGGATCTAGAGTTTGGGGAAATTTCTGGTTTTCTTAAAGATGGGTGACTAAAGCTTGCCTCTTTGATAAGGCCACTGATCTTACCGGTTTGTTGTTTGTTGGTGTTTTAAAATTCGGTCTGAAATGCTAATGCAAAGTATTCAGAGAGAGACTTGAGAGCTGGTGGGAAGATGCAGTTTTGGTGGATCTGCGGGCTGGGAGAATTTCCATGAGGGGTCAAGATGGAGATCTGCCACCCATTATGGCCACCTTTTCCATCACCTCTCCTCCAGGCATAGCTAGGCTGGAAGGGGGAAAACGTAACCCAACTGCACTGTGGGATGGGCTCCTCAAAAAGGAAAAGATAAACTCACTAGAATGAGGTCTGAAGAGCCAGCAGATCTTCCTTCCATCCCCAACCAGGTACCTGTGGACAAAGTGAGAAGAAAATATAGAGTTTTCAGACATTTTAGCTTTTTAACCCTTAGCAGCCGCAGTAAGCTGGTCTTGGGTTTTCTTAAAGTAAAACAGAGCTGGACCTGTTTTCCGGTACATTGCACATCAGGGATGGAGGGGCATTTGTTATCATTTGTTTTGCTGGAAACCATTAGCATTTTTCCTTTAGATTTTATAGGTGATGCTCCCAGACAAATCTTTGGCAAAGGCCAACCAAAGTACAGCTACCAAATTACTGAGCTTCCCAGACAAGGATCTTAGTCCATCATTGCTTCCCTCACCTGCAGAGCAGTTGTCCAGTGAGCAGCAGTGGGAGCAAAGGAATGAGATGCCAGTGGCCATATTTTTCCAGGAATACGTCAATTATTTTTATTATGATGCTTTGCTCAATGAATTGTCTAATTTACCCTTGCAATAGTCAATGGTATTGTATTTTTAAAAGCTCCTGAAGTGTGACGGGGCACTGTTTTATCCACTGGAGCAAATAAATAGTTGAAGTGTTGGTTGTCATGAGGAAGAAGATCAAGCCCATTCAGAATATCGTGGGGTGCCTGCCCCATGCCAGGGTGCAGGGGGGTGAATTGGGAACCGAGAGTGATCCCAGAGCAGGCAGTGCCCTCACTGATGGGAGCAGTGCTGCAGGGTCTGGGTGCATTGGACAGAGCTGCAAACTGGCGGTGGCTCCCTCAGCAGTCCCAGACAAATGAAGGGGATGAACCAGGTCCAGGTTCCCTCCAGGGTGTCCCTCCAGAAGCAGAATGAGACATGGCTGGAGATGGGGCTGGAGACAGAAGTGGATCTGTGGTCCGTCCAGGAGAAAAGGCTGGACATAACCTACCTCCCGTATCGGTCTTCAATCCATCCTTGAAACAGGGCAGGGGAGTTGCTGATGGGATCAGATTCTTCATTTTGTGATTATTTGAAGGGTGTTGATGAGTCTTGCTGTTCCCTATATTTATATATTTATCTACATGGGACAACAGGATGACAAAAAAACTGATCAATGCCTATTTTTTCCAAGGGAAAATGCAAACAGGGATTCCTAGTTAAGGCAGAATCCAGTAGAAGTCAATGTGAGTGTTGCTTGTATGAAAGGATTTTAGCATAAAAAAGATCCACGCAGCTACAAGGAATACAGATATCCTGCTCTTGCAGTGGTGCACCCTGAGATAGACCCCTTTCTACAGAAAATAACCTTCATGCTTGGGCTGCAGCATCTAGATGGGGCCTGGATTTCCAGTTCTCAAATGTGGATCTGATCAGGATGAGGACAGAGGAGAAGAGTTGGGGTGGGGTGGCAGAGCCGACGGCTCGTGAGGATGAGCATAATGTGCTGTGTCAGAGAGCTCCTGCATACAGCACCGTTTCCAATTCCCGCACTGATATCTCTGTATTTCTCTCCTCTAGACTGTAAGGACAACCTGACGTCAGTTGAACCTTTGGGCTACTGAGCCTGCCCCAGATGCAATAATTTAGTGAACAGATGATGTTTTCAACCAAACCTCCTGTCTAACTCAGTGGATCTGTGTGTCTTCCGGCAGGTGTGTCCTCTGTGGCCTCCCTGATGTCCCTGGCTTGGGTGCTAGCCTCCTATCACAAGCTTCTTCGGGACTCTAGGGACGACAAGAAGAGTATGAGCTACAGAGGGGCCCTCATCCATGTCTTCTGGCGCCTCTTCACCATCTCATCCCGAGTTATTTCTTTTGCTCTCTTTGCTTCCATCTTCCAGCTCTACTTTGGGATCTTTGTAGTGGTCCATTGGTGTGCCATGGCTTTCTGGATCATCCATGGTGGGACAGATTTCTGCATGTCTAAGTGGGAGGAGATCCTCTTCAACATGGTGGTAGGGATTGTGTACATTTTCTGCTGGTTTAATGTCAAGGAAGGGCGGACTCGATACAGAATGTTTGCGTATTACACGGTAGTCCTGACGGAGAACGCTGCCTTGACGCTCCTTTGGTATTTTTACAGAGATCCTGAAACTACTGACTCATATGCCGTGCCAGCACTGTGTTGTGTCTTTCTTAGCTTTGCTGCTGGGATAGCTTTGATGCTGTTATATTATGGTGTGCTGCATCCCATGGGGCCAAGAGCTAAGATCCTTGTCAGCTCCTGTTGCGCCGAGCTGCTCTGGGGCATTCCTTTGCCCCCCGATGTTGAGCCCATGGCACCCCAAACCCCTGGGTACCGGGGGGCAGAGGCTACGCCCACCAGAGCGGTCACGGAGCAACAGGAGGAACTCACAGCTGACACTTGCTTGCCCGTTTTCCAGGTGAGAGCAATGGTACCATCTACTCCATCTGGGCGACCCTACCCCCCTGAGGGGCCTCTCATTAAGATTGACATCCCAAGAAAAAGATATCCTGCATGGGATGCTCATTTTGTAGACAGGAGGTTAAGAAGAACTATCAACATCCTCCAGTATGTCACCCCCACAGCTGTAGGTATTAGGTATAGAGATGGACCTCTCTTATATGAGTTGCTACAATATGAATCTTCACTTTAAAAGCTCCTTAAAAGCAAAAGTAAAAGAGGGGACCTTATTTTTGTTTACGGTAAACACAGATCATGAAACAAACACAAACCTTCAGATAAGCTTTCTTTCTGGTTGCTGTATGTATAAAAAAAAAAAGATATTCTCTATGTTTTGTAAGTAAAAACAAAAAGAAAAACTTTTCTTTTGTTTTTTACACACAAGAAACAGTATTTCAACTTCCACACCTAGGATTCACAGGTGGAGAAGGAGGCATCTCCACATCAGTTTTATACCGTACACCAAGTGTAGAACATTATTTATGGGATTGGTGCTGATTGAAAAATAAAAAACAAACAAACAAACAAACCTACAACTGCCTTATGCCCTTAGGTGCTGAGTTTCATTAAGTACTGTCACCTTTCTCATGCAAAACTCTTTGACGATTATATGCCAGGAAAAAAGAAAATAAAACAACCAACTGAAATACAAACCTTAAAATTAAAAAAAAAAAGAAAAAAATAGAAAAAAATTAACAACAACAACAAAAAGAGAAAAATGTATGACAAAAAAACCTTGTTGCTATTATTGGATTTAGCAGAAAAAAACCCCAAATGTTTAAAGATGAGAAAGCAAAGCCAAGACACCCCCAATGGAGTTTGATTTTTCCAACAGCTGAAAGACAAAATCAGGTCTGTACCCCAATTTGGCAATGCATTTATAACACCATTCGGCCAAGCCTGCGAGCCTTGACCCAGTCGTGTTACAAACGCAACCCCACCATGTAAACGTTTTCCCCGTGTAAACGGGCCGTGTGTAACGGCCGGTTTGCACCGGATTAATGTGGAAATACAGTATCTGATCTTGTTGGGAATAAATTCACACGCTAAAGCGCCACTGTCTTCAGTGGTGTAAATCACAACCGTCTGAGCCCAGAATCAGGCCCGCCACCTTGAGATCTGGAAAATAAGGAATCTGCAAACATTGGAATTCAAAACCAAAAAATACGATGCTAAAGTTACATCTACACATACCTAATAACTATTTCAGTAATAATAAAACTCAGCATAGTAGCAAAAAGCGAGTCAATTTAAAGGCACAATACTTGATCAGTGACTGGCAAAATAATTTGACCTACTGTATCATTTTAAGGCTGTGAAAGGCATACATGTATTATTTGTAATTTCGTGTAAGACCTGTCATGTCTCATTCAGTGCGAGCCTTAAAGTGATTGTAAAGCATCCTTCGTTCCATTTTGGGGTTTTCGGGTTTTGATTTTTTGTTTTGTTTTGTTTTTAAGGAAAACAAAACATGAAAGTCGGGATAAAAACAAACAAACAAACAAACAACAACAAAACAACCAACAAACTTCTTCAAACGGTAATAACCTGTAAACTGACTCACGTCTCGAGATGATTTGGTGCTTTGTATTTTCGTTGATGTTGTTGTTGTGATTTTAGCTGAGAATTCTTCAACTCGGTACATGTGGGGAACTGCTGATAAAAACAAACAAACAAACTGTCTTGTGTCACCCTCTACTGTAAGTACATGGCGAGAAACAACTCCAGAGGAAAATCAAGAGCGTAGCGAGAGCATCGTGGTTTAGCTTAGCCTGCTCACCGCAAGGAGATGCTGCCACCTGGGATGATGGCAAAGCCTAGACGGTCACCTGCCGAGGGTCGCGTGGTTGTCTTGACATTTCCAAATAACCCGCTCGGTGTCGGAACATTCTCATCTCTCGGATTCTGTTTCTGTGCTGGAATTTTCTTTGTTTCGAGTTAAAAAATCACGGGTTTGCGTCTGTCCAACACCCTTTTCCGTTTCGAGAGTATTGCTCCTTTAAAGGAATATTCCCGTTTCAGGGCATCTTTTCAATCCCACCATCCCTCAACGTGGGAGGGGAAAAAAACAACAACAACAACAAAATGAGATATTTTTAAGTGAATGCTGTAGTATTTTCCGTGTGTAATTGCAATTTTTTATTCCAGAAATACTGTAACTGTCTAGGGTGCAAAACTCCCATGCTGACCTATTCTGAAGAGAAGATCAGCATGGGGGGAAAATTTTTTAATTATGATTATGATTTTTTTTTTAATTTGAGGAATCAGTTGGTTTTTTTAATTATAATAGTATTTAAAGAAACTAGTACCAATTTTATATAACAGTTTAAAGAAGCTGAATGCTTTCTTCGCCTGAATATACCTGAAGAGAAACAGTTTTTTTCAATCAGTGATCCTTTGCAGTGTTCTGAGAAAATGCTGGGGTTTCTTTAGTTGTTTCCTTTTGCTTTGTAAGGAAAACTTTAACTGGTGTCTGTCCCTTCCCAGGAGGGCAGGACTCATTCACGCCAAACGATACACACATGGCAAAGTTTATAAGAAGCCAAATTGTCACTGGTACTGTAATTCCCAGTCAAACTCCATTTCAGGCAAATGTTTCTGGGCTCTGATTACAACCAATGTGATGGTCACATTTTCACACAAAGGGAGGGATTTTGTCTTGTCATCCCCTACCTGAATTCCCAGTCCCTTGTTTACTGTGCACATAAATACATATATATATACACATACACACACACGCTTATATGTATTTGCGAACAGCTTTAATTTCCCTTCTCCATTGTCTGTGTCCTGTAACCAGTCCCTTCTCAAGTGTCCTACTAACATTTCACCCTGATTCTTCCCTAATCAGTACGATGTCTCCGTAAAAAGAGGTAATTTGTGAAGTGAACTTGCTGACTGCAGCTACTGAGTCATAAAAACACAGAGGTGCCCATCCTCCAGCAACAGGCCTGCGTTTCTCCTTCCAGGACTTTCTTTTGACTTGCCTTTAATGCTAGCGTAGACTTTGTTCCCATTCCCTGAGACCCGTGCCCTGTGTAAAGACACTCCTTGGTCCATGAAGAGCACTCCTGTACATCTGCATTTCATTGGCATAAGCATGAGAAAGGAATACCAACCCTGCTGTTCCTCGGGGACCTTTCCTCCAGGAGATAGCATCCTCATTTCCAGAAGCACCGTGAGAAGGTCCCTCTCCATGAACTTGTCAACCTGGGGGTCTGGTTGGGAGATGTGATCCCACTGAACAGCCAGACCCTGCCACTTCACACCAGGACAGTGAAACGAGTCAACGAGCTGAGCCACATTCATCAGGAGTTGAGAAGGAGACCCTTCAGTGTTGCCTCTCATGAGCACCTGCAGCCTGCCTTCCCTCAGGAACAGGGCCCTTGCTCCAGATCACACACCAACAGCCGTCCTCTCCATCCCACTACGGGAGTGGAGGGGCAAAACACTTCTAGAAGTGACCTTACCTCTCAATACAGTGCTAATTTCTCACAGCCAAACCAGCTTGACTAAGGGCTTGACACAACCCTGTTCCAAAGTCCTCCTTCCTCGTGGCTCGTAGTACGGATAACAACGAAGGCAGGTGCCTCCACCGTGTGTTAAGACTGTTTCGTTACACTCAGTTGCATAAACTTTCTGCCGCCGCTATTAGTTGATATCCACTGGCATCTTGATTTAGCAAAAGATTTCTAGGGAGAGCCTGTGTCAACCCTGAAGGACTATTTCTCTTGGAAGGACTTCATTACAGCCTTAACCTACAGCTCGTGCTCTACCACTGCACCCAACGAGTTCTTGGTGGACAGTTTGGTGTGGTGGCCATTTCCTCTTGGGATTATCTGTGATCTTGTTGCCAAACAGCGCCTTTTGCCAAGCCAAAAGCTCGGGGAGGAAATTTACCCCCAGCTCTTTATTGGTACTAAACTCTATGCTAAGAGTCTAATCCTTGCCTCCTGTTTTTTGTGTTTTTTTCCAGGGTCTCTTTGATTTTTGGTGTGCACTTTGGCAGGATGGTCGGTGACTTGCTTTGATTTTTAACTCCTCAGCTTCTCCCTGGTAGCTTAGTTACACCATGCCCCGCTTTCTTGCCAAGAAGATACTGCATAGTGGGTTTTCCAGTCTGTCATGGAGAAGATTAAGTCCACATTTGTTCACATCAGAAGATCAGTGGGCAACTTCCCTGGCACTTCTGTGCTACTGGATTCACCCTGGGATTATCTAAACCAGCCAACTGTGCCATGCCAGGACGTGAGGGCTCCACCATCCCTGCTGTTGCATTGCTCAAGCCTTCCCTGGCATGGTTTTGACCCACTCCAAGGAACCCTAGCCTCAGGTGAAAGAGTTTAGTAGTGTAGATGTGGATATTAGTTGGCTTCATGGCCAGAATGGATCCTGCCAGTGCTTAATTTACCAATAAAGGTGCAATTATATGCCACAGACTGGGATTCAAGACTCCAATCTGGAATTTTTCTATTTCCTGCTTGGTTCAATGGACAAAGTATTTTTTCGGTTTGCTTTGCTCTTTTTGCTGAGGTTATTTTTCAAACAGCATCCATTTTACCATGCTGATGTTAACCCGTCCATCCCTCCATCCATGTCAGATGGCTGACATGCTTTGTGTGATAGCATTATACATCTGTAGGCAGCTAATCTGGAGACGGGAATCATTCAGACCAGACCAAATTGACAATGGAAATACAAGAATTGCAAGGTCCCTCCCCATGCCCTTGTCATGCTTTGCCACCCACACAAGGCATTTTTCATCCAAAGCATATCCAACCTGAGCTGGAAAAGAGAAGCCAATGTTGTAAAACCAACTGTGGAAAGTGCAAGTGAGCCACCAATTTTAAGTGTAAATATATATATTTTTCAGTGTTTTGGATTGGAGATAATTGTCTGCTTCATCCTGTCCTTTTCTGCACCTGCCAAAAGTCAGTAGTCATTTGCATGCATTTTTATATAAAGCTGACTAGGTGAAACAGGACAACATTAATGTTAAGTTTCAGTCAGGGTTCTGCTAAAACCTGTCTGATGCTGCTCATGAGGGGAGCATTGCTATTGACTTCCAGAGAGCAGTCACTCCATGCTATTCAGCTATATTTTGGTACACACAAGATTCACTTCACAATTTATCCCTGCACAAGACTCACTTCACAATTTATCCCTACTCCTCGTACCTACACAGAAATGCATGACACGCTCCCATCACCCCCATACCTGCAGCATGACCAAACCTCCCGAAGAAAATGTGGTCTGAGGTTCGTCCCCCATGATTTTGTTGAAGCTCAGAGGTGCTTTGAAAAGGAAAACTTACTACTGTGCATTTGCAAAACCTCTTAGTGCCTGCTTGCTGGGCAGCTTGGGCAATGAGGCAATTTGGAAGCTGCCGGAGTCAGCAGAAAATTGTGGAGACAGGCTTTTCTGGGATCTTTTCTTCTTTTACTGGCTTAGCTTTCCTCTGGATTCTGTTCAGATCGAATGTGGCCACGCAAAAATAA